TAGGTTTTTGTTAACTGATTGCTTAATGAAAATAATACCACTAGTACAGATTATATAATCCGCCTAATCTCTATCTACTACACATTTAATCAAACATAACAATCGACTCCCTGCTTATTTCCCGAATTCCCCAAATAATCCCCCAATTATCAAAAACCGACAATAATACGAAATAACCAAAAACTGCAAATAATTTGTTTTCAACCGGTACCCAAACTACCCGTTAATACCCGTTTAACATGAGAAATTTATAAAATTACACATGGAACAAAATAACAATATTACACTTGAAACAAAATAAAACAAACATTAAAAATAGGGCTACGGTCTGTATGGTATAAGACATAATAAATATAGCTACTGTCTACTTGTCCTTGAAAATGAAAATAAAATTTGAAGCACAAAATAACAAGACTAAGAAGCTACTGTCTCTTGCGCACACAAATGGAAAAATTCCCCGCTACCTCCTGACCAACTGCGTCAAGAAGAACAAGAACCAGTCACTGATTTGTGATTTGCGGGCAACCAACAGAGGCCAAGTAGTCGCCCAAGGCCTGGGCTTGGACTAGCGACTGGGCTTCAGCTGAGCTCGGATAGGAGTTCTTGGGATGGGAACTGGGTTTCAGTTTTGGACTAAATGTCTAAATGAAATTTAATAAATCTTTATGGGTAATACGGGTATCCAAACTACCCAAACGAGTATTAGCGGGTAACCCGCAGGTACCCGATATTGAGATTCTTAATCCCAAACCCCATCCCGCAACAAATATAACGGGTATTTGGATACCCGTAACCCTCAAAAAATGGGACGGGTTTGGGTATACCCAAATACCCGTTTCCCGTTGTTCACCCCTAGATATACTACAGTATACACCCTCGAAGATCCAAAAAGTTTGCAGGAAGCATTAACTTCCATAGATGCATACTTTAGGAATGAGGCCGTTATAGATGAAATGGAATCGTTAGAAGCTAATAAGACTTGGCATCGAACAGACTTACCTCCTGGCTGCAAAGTCTTAGGTAATAAATGGGTTCTAAAAACGAAACGGAAACCTGATGGTGCAATCGAAAAGTTCCAAGCTCGCCTAGTAGTTAAGGGCTACAGGAAGAGAGAGAATATATATTTCTTCGATACTTATTCACCAGTATCTAGAATAACATCCATTCGTGTCATGATTTCTCTTGCTGCCTTGAACAATCTCGTGGTACACCAAATGGATGTTAAGACTGCTTTTTTGAACGGTGATCTAGATGAAGAAATCTATATGGAACAACCATAAGGTTTGTTATCCCCGAACATGCCCGAAAGTCTGTAAGTTAGACAAATCATTATATGGTTCAAAACATGCTCCAAAACAGTGGCATGAGAAGTTTGACACTCTCGTTCTCTCACATGGCTTTAAGGTGAATGAAAGTGACAAGTGTATTTACTGCAAGTCAGAGAATAACACTTGTACTATCATATGTTTGTATGTAGATGACATGTTAATATTTGATACAAATATTCACGTGGTCAATGAAGCGAAAGCCATGTTAAAAGAGAGCTTTGAGGTGAAAGATCTGGGAGAAGCGAAGTTTATGCTTGGAATCCAGATAACTAGAACAACAAATGGTTATTCTCTAGATTAATCTAGCTACATAGAGAAGATCTTGAAGAAATATAACTATTTCGATTGTAAACCTGCGTGTACTCTGTATGATGCTAGTGTAAAGCTATTTAAGAACACTGGTGACAGTGTAAGACAATCAGAATATGCTAGCATCATTGGCAGTCTCCGTTATGCTGCGAATTACACTCGACCAGACATTGCATATGTCGTGGGATTCCTTGGCAGGTTTAACAGCTGTCCTAGTAGAGAGCATTGGAATGCTATAGAGAGGGCCATGAGATACCTCAAGAGAACAGCAAACCTTGGTATACACTATCAAAGGTTTCCTGCTATACTAGAAGGGTATAGTGATGCGGATTGGAATACCCTATCAGATGAATCCAAGGCAACCAGCGGGTATGTTTTTAACATCGCTGGTGGAGCTGTGTCTTGGAAGTCAAAGAAACAAACAATCCTAGCTCAATCAACTATGAAATCAAAGATGATAGCACTAGCAACGGCTAGTGAAGAAGCAAGTTGGTTTAGAGGATTGTTGTTAGAGATTCCCCTATGGGAAAGGCCGGTCCCTCCGGTATTGATCCATTGTGATAGTACCGCAGCTATCGCTAAAAAGTTGAGAACCGGTTCTATAACGGAAAGAAACGAAAAATTCGTCGTAAGCACAGTACTGTAAGAGAACTCCTAACTATAGGAGCAGTGAGAGTGGATCATATAAGATCCGAACAGAATCTAGTTGATCCTTTGACGAAGGATTACCTAGAGAGAAAGTCCAGAATACCGCCAAGGGTATGAGACGTATGCCTACCGAACCACAGACTACAAGTGATGGTAACCCGACCCAATAGACTGGAGATCCCAATAAATGGGTTCAATGGGTAATAACAAGTCATGAGTAGTATGCGAAAAGTTCATGCATAGTGAAGCATGAATCCCAAAGCAATGGAGGTTGAGTTAATAACTCTTAATGATATCTATACCCTATGTGGGGTGGAATACTTTACTTTGGAGGTACTCCTGATAGACTCACCTATGTGAATGTGGGAGTGGGGCCGCTCCCTATGGAACTTTGTAGGCACAAAGTTGCTAGAGCGTTCACTAAACCAGGATAACGTGCATGGCCGTAAAAGCACGGGATAAAAAGAGAACACAACTCAATGAAAAGATCCGGTGTGCTACACTGTCTGAGATAGGATTCAAGACTACGCTAAGGTTCAAATCTTCGCGATACCTTAGCTTATACCCGATCTTATGGAACTGTTGATGCTCAGAGATAGTTTCAAAAGTATTCAAGTGGGGGATTGTTGGAAATGTATGAATAGCTTTGAAAGCTATAAAGTCTCAATTGGAAAAACTACCACATTTGTAGTTTTACTTGGTGAAATGTGTATAAAGATAGGAGCCTCTCTCCTAAGGGCATGCCCCTTGGGGTGACCCACTTTTGTGGGAGAGGGAGGACCTAACGGACCACCACACACACACGCGCGCGCGCGCCGTGTCGGTCGGTTGGTTGGTTCACTTGAGACTATATATATTTTTTGGAGAAATTCCAAACGAAATTAATTATCTAATAATTGATTATTCTAAGGAATATTCTAAGGATAATCGACTAAAAATGAATATTCGAAGGATAATCCCGCAAGATTTATCTTAACCGACGGTTTTATTTAAGGAAGATAATTACTTCCTTAATTAATCCGACTTATTCCCCAAGCAAGAGGGTATATTCCTAGGGGTTTGGCTCCTATAAATAGTCGCCTCCCCAGCCCCTCTAAACACATCACAACGAGCATAAACACAATAGAGAGATTGTTCAGAGAGCTCCGGTTTTTGCACAAAACCGCGAGTACAAAGAGGAATTGTTTTATCCTGGAGACGACCGGTTGATAGTCTGTCATGTGTATCGAGGGCAGTGCCGCGAACATCTTAAAGAGAGCGACCTAGTCCGCGACTCAGCTCCACGACTCAGCTCCAGATTCGGTAACTTCGTTCTTGTTGTTGTTCCGTTCCTAACACCACTCCGATGGGATGATTACTTAAGTAACTAATCTGAAAAAAAAAAGTACCATCTAAATAAAGAAGGGGGGAACAGTCGGCAACGCATGTTTGAATATGAATATCTAATTTTAAGCAACTAGTTATTTAGCTATCCAACTAGCGAGTAATTAATTATCCTTTGATTAGCAAGGTGGGAGATTAATGATGATGCCCCTTCAACAGTTTGGGACAAAACTGTAATGTTTATGAGCGCTTGGGGTTGTCTCCTAATAATTGACTAATTAATAATGGATGTAGATCAGATGATGAGGTCTAAACCTTTAAATTTGCATAACAAGATGACAGCTGCATCTTGTAACAATAATTCTGTTTACATATTAAATCATTGGATCGATACTCCTCCCAGTCAAAAGAAAAATACACATGAAAGAAAATTAAAATGATGCAAGATATGAGATAAGAGGAAGCTAAGTCCCAATTGCAGTTGGAAGTAGTACTTGCAGCCTCTCTCTATAAAGCCCTCTGTCTCTCTCTCTAAAGCTAGCAAGGGTGTCTGAATCTACCTGGAAATTGAGGTGGGTTTTTGTCTCTAACTTCCCACAGAAAGACATACTTGTTTCTGCTAACTTATTTTTGTCTCTTTCTTTTTCATTTATGTTCTCTGAATAAACTTATAATCATTGATTTCATCATGTGACCAACTGTTATATCTTCTTAAACTTGCTCTCTCCATCCCTTTATATATATATATATATATATATATATATATATATATATAGGGAGTTCTACGGTACCCAGGGTGAAATCCGGGGTACCGCATACCTTGAGTAAGAAAACGCTATTCAGAACTTGAATTGACTGATCTTCCGGACATGATACTATACTCTAACTCTTAAAGATCAAAATCTAGGTCTTAATTCTCTAAATCTTATACCCCAATATCCATTTAATTAGAAACAAGAATCGACGGTTATGATTCGTCCAAATATAGGCAAAAAAATCAATGCATCATCTTAGGGTTTATAGTTTATGATTTAGATAATTAGGACCTAGGGTTCACTCATTAAGGGTTAGGGTATAGTATCATGCCCAAAAATCATGCTAATTCGAGATCTAGATAGCTTTTTCATACTCAAGGTATGCGGTACCCCGGATTTCACCCGGGGTACCGTAGAAGGCACCATATATATATATATATATATATAAAGACAAAACATATTAATAGTTATTCTTGTGATTCGGATCATGAATACGATGGGGAAAATAAGAATCCCCACCGGCAAATGAGAAAATATCCTAAAAAGAAAAGGAGCAGTGACACTTTTTGACTTCTCTTTTTTTTCCCGCAAACAAATAAAAAAATTATTGTAGCATTATTTGGGAGTTCCTATCATAATGCACGACTACTTAACAGGGGGATTCACCGCTAATACTAGCTTGGCTCATTATTGCCGAGATAATGGTTTACTTCTTCACATCCATACTCCCAAGAAAATCTCGAATGACCTTCAACAAAAGGATACCTGTACCCGAAACCGACACAATTGGGTAGGTAGAGAATACCATATAAGAAAATCAAAATTGATATATATATATATAGCTCCTTCGGTGCACTCACTTTTTTGGGTACATTCAGTGCACCCACCTCTAAAAGTGGTCATAATACATTAAATTTTGAAATTTAATGGGTTGTATTAGTCTAATATGATGATATAACATAGAATCCCAACTAATCAACCCATTACCGTAACCTATTAACCTTCAATTTTGAATCTCAACTCAAAATCCCAAATTGTAAACCCTAACCCTAACCCTAAATTCCTAAACCCTGAATCATTCAAATTAAAGTGAATCTTGAATGATATTTGTACAAATTCATGTGGTTCTTGTTCATCATACCACAAGTGATGATTGACATCGTTTTCACATGAATCGCCTGCTCAGAATGACGATTATAAGGCGGGTGCATTGAATGCACCCAAAAAAGTGAGTGCACCGAAGACATAACCATATATATATATATTTATCATCTCCTTCCATATGATATGCGAGTGAGTTATGGATATTCAATGGGGAGTTGACACTGAGATGGGTTGTACTTGTAGGTGGGTACTTGTTGTGTGGAGAGGATTTGAACACGACGGTTGCCGAGCATGCAGAATAAGAGCAGGGGTGGTGGAAAGTGTTTTTTTCCTCCTATCCAATCCCTTTGGGGTGGCTTCTCAGCATGATGTGTCAGTGTGCGTTATATGTATTAATATGCTTTGTCACAAATAATTGTCTCACTAAAAAAAACTACCTAAGATATTCGATTTCTCTCTTTGTACCCCACTTGTGTCAAAATAAATCACTAAATGATGCATATTTAGTTGTTTTATTAGTTGGTCACATATCACAAATGTCATATCTCAGTGTAAACGGTAAGTTCATCTCAATATATAAAATTTGACTTGGTGGAAGATGTTTAAACATGGATCCTATAGTATTCACGCGTATGCTTCCTCGTGAAAGGTTCATGTGGTTCATTAATATTTTACCAAGCCGCCACCAGTAACGCATGCAAGATTTGTATAAGATGAGTTCAATTACACCTTTTATTATGTCCCGTGACATGTTCTCATATTTTGAATTTTTTTTAATAATACGCAATCATATGATGTCAGTCCATGTATCCGATCATCTAATCATTCATTATTTTGTCAATCATTCAATATGGGAGAGTAATTTTTATGCAGTTCTTTACAAATGTCCTTTCAACACCTGCAATTGTGACTTAGGTAGAAACAACTTAAGTTGCTCCTTTGAATGAACATGATTCCAAACATGAAGATCAATTTAATAAAAAAAATAACAGCCAACAATTCTTATTTGCTGAAATACAACGAAGTCCATCCAAAGGTCAAATCAATTTGAGTATGGTATATTCAAAGAGTATGCAAGTAGTTACCATATATATATAATCTAATTGAGGTGAAAAACTTAAGATACCTTTATCAGATAACTCATTATTAGTTAGGATAAGAGGAAGCTAGCGAGTTTCAACCAGAGAAGGATTTAGTGGAAGAAGAGGAATAAAATTAAGAATTTGGGACTTGAAAGATGAAGTTAGATTTTTCTTAAAATTATTTATGCCAAAACTATAATGATTTTTTATACTGCTGAATTTAGTAAAGGAAAAGGTTGAGCGCAAAAAATAAAAATAGAGTTCAAACAAAGAGCCTCATAATGGGTGAGGATCCAAGGGAAAAGAAGCAAAATCCAAAAAAAATAATACAAGGAACTAGAAGAAAGACGCGAGAGGAGTTTCAATTACCAAGTGACAAAGGATTTCCCCAAACAAACCCCCTACCCGAGACAAGGAAGTAGTCTCAAACAACAAACCGAACACTAAATCCCCAAAACACAAGAAGCACCATGATACGACCCTACTTAGACACAACCAGCCGAGGAATTAATGTAACCACAAAAAGAAAAGCACTCGGGGAGCTTAACACAAGCAACAAGATGTCAAGTTCTTGAGAGAGACTGATTTATGTACCCAAGCATAATTAAGCATAAAGGAAGCATAGATTTACTAAAACAAACATATTCATTCATAAACCCTAACACAACTACATCTACATTCAAAACCTAAATCTAGAGTTTGGGGGGTTTAACCCTAGTACCTTAGTGAAGTACTCCATAAAGGGGGGGAGAAGATACATGGAATAAACTAGAAGAAGTCTTGATGTGGGAGAGCTCACTTCCCTTCCTCCTCCTCTTCTCCTTCCTTCAGCTTCTCTCTCTAACTTTATCTCTCTTAAAACCAGAAATTTTCAATTAATTTCAGCCCACAAATGTAGGAGGAAACCCATATTTATAGATTGCCAGGATTTGGCAAGTTCATGGTCATGCTAGGAGAGTTCGCGGTCGTGTTCTTCTTCACTGCCTTGGATGAAAAAGTTCGTGAGTCGACTATCAAAACTTTCTGCTCCTTCCTTGTTGGGTGCTCCAAAAGTTCGCACCTGAGGCCTCATTCTTCACGAACGTTATCTTTGCACTGACGGTCGCTATCTCTGTCCTTAGCGTCGCTTCCTATGTTCCCGACCGTGATCATTCTTGCTCTGGCCGTGAGCAATGGAGTTTGATCAAAGGAACGAATATGGGCTATATTTGACTATATATTAACCATGAAGAATATAAAATGACTTGAAACAAACCTAAATACCAGCTCTAAATAACACCATTTCATTGTTATCAACTCCTCCACACTAAGCAGTTTGCTTGTCCCCAAGCAATCCTACTCAAACTAGAACAACTTGATAAATAATCATTATGGAGTGACCTATAGTTCTTCGTTGCACTAGTTAGAATAGTCGCTATCAAGTGAACGTTACTTCCATCCTATTGAGAAAACACAAACCCTCGGATGAGGAATATGTTAACTAAGCAGGTCTAGACATTCAAGGTGTGCACACCAGGGGACTTTCAAAAATAATGAAAACAATAGACACTAAAGGGTTCTCTTTATTTTTTTTCTTTTCAAGGTAGAGTAATTTTGTTGGTCTCCTTATTTAAACATTGTCGCACTTGGCAGCAAACATTAGCAATTTTTTCTTGCAAATTGTCATCTCTCCCTCGTAACCAAGCGCGGAAGAAACATTGCTTCTCAGGCGTGGCATTGTGTGGGGAACATGGTGGTCGGATTCATTTCCGATACCGCTTTCCAGCCTGCATACATTGTCTCAACGAGAGATGGGTGCGCCACACATGTCGGGTTCAAATAAGAGTTGAGGTCTCATTGTTCGCTAAAAGGTGCTTTGTACCATGCTATACGAACTTGTGAGGACGAGAGGGGTCTGGGATGGAAATAGTAAAGGAATATCGAGACGCGGTAAAGCTATCTTAACCTCAAACACATCCTCAATCGACACTCCAATCCAAGATAAGAGCCCTTTGACAGCTCAACTCAAACACTATGCATGGTTGCCTCTCACATGAGCACCTCAACTTTTTCAAGAAACCTTTTGATTTTTGAAAGGTGAGCACATTTTGAAAACGTTTTTTTATTCCAAAAAGATAGAAAGTCTAGCACACATGCCTTTATCTAAGAAGAAAACATTATCGACTCACCAAAGAGGAAGATAAGAGTAAAATCTCTCATACACTGATAATTCTGGTAAGTGCAAACTACTCCCTATAAAGCACGCTATAGCGACTATCTAGCAATTCAAAGCACATTGAGATGATAGATGCTAGGGACAAGATGTTTCTAACCCTCAACTTTGAAAAAAAATTGGTATATCATCAAGGTTCAAAACAAAAAATATAAGTCATTCAAGAGACCAAAACAAAACTAATTGATAGCAACCATCCTCACAAACGATCATCAACGTCTTATATTCTTGACTAAGGGAGACTACTACCAACTATGGCAAGAATTATTCATGAACCATTCACTCAAGCATACAAATTTCCTCCCTCCCCCTTGAGATACACATTGTCCTCAATTTTGGAATTCTAAGGCAGGTTCTGGAGTATTTACCATAGGGTGTTTGGCTGGGTTATTGTTGGTGCACAAGTCTAGGTCTTTGTCTTCCTGGTTTGTATAGAATGATAAATCCCATAAGAAGAAAGAAAAGAAAAAAGGTTATGGGGCACAAAATAACATAGTAATTTAGTATTTAAGAAACTACTACTAGGCAATAAAAAATACGAAATACAGAAATTAAGACATGGTAGAACACATTGTTTAAGTGAAAGAAAGAAATGAAAGATAGTAAAGTGGCCCCGAATGCCTAAGACTTAATCCTCCTCGAAGGATTTTTTCACTTCTCTGGCTTGATGAAGTTCAGGGGAGGAGAGCGCACAAATGGTGGGAAGATATCCGCTAAATGGATCTCCATCTTCCCCATAATCGCATGTATGCTCGCCATTAGGTGTTGCCTTGCTTCCTTCTCCCTTCTTTGGTTATAGAGGATGGCCGCTACCATGGCCTTGGTATGATAGTTGAGGTTTTCAAGTGATAGATTGGTTGATGTCTCACTTCCTCCTCTTACATGCTTGCTTCTTGATCTTCCTCTCCATCCACTTTCATTGCTTGCCTAGTTGCACGTTGGTTGGTGTGAACCAGAAGACGGAACATCGCGCCCTTCATATCCAATGTGTTCGTGAGTGGGTAGGAAAAACCTTGGATACCCCAAATACCATTCTCGCTCGGGGTGACAACCTTAAGTAAAAAACCTGAAGAAAAAAGCAAGTACGGTCACATACACTCCACCGTCCAATGTCGCAAGCTGATGATCTTACTCATATCACTTCAATGTGTAGATCGCCAAACCGAGATGCAAAGGTTGAGAAGTATGCATGATATGAAGAAATATGACGTCTCTGGCAATCAAATTGCCTTTACATTTGTATTTACCACCCACGGACCTAGCAATCACGTGGTTGATCAATCTTCACTAGAGTCTTAGTTCACTGCTTAAGAGAGCTTGACATCCCACTGCCGGTTACCTGCTTCCTTGACTTCATATTCAAAAAATTCCTTCAAGCATGGAAAACCATTCTATCTAGTCAATGTAGCAAAGTCATCCAATGAATCCACAAAGTCCCATTAATATATATCTAATGCTCTGGTGAATTGCCGAATTGATATTTGGTGATGTTCTCCTCCAAGCCTGAATTGAATG